AACACTGCTTTGGGATGGGTGCAGGGAGCAGCAGCTCACCGTTGGGGATCTCCACAGCGATGTTCTCCACTCCTCTCTTCACAGTGCGGGGCCGGCCTTGCTCCGTGGGGGTGGAGACCCAGTCGTCGGAGCTGGCAACGGGATGGTAGTGAACCATCAGCTTGGGAACAAGAAGAGCCTGTCAGTGACCCCGGAGCAGGACAGCTACAGCAGCTGCCGGGTGACACGGGGTGGTACCAGACCGTGCTGGGCCCAGCCCTTTGCCCACAGAGGTGTTGGAAAGAAACGTGGAGCTGCTGGCAGGCTCCTCTGGCACAGGCAGGTGAGTGGAATGCCTTTGGAACAAACCCACTTGAAGGGAACAGCACAAAGAGACCCAAAGGGATGTCCTCACTGGTCACCACAGAGACCACCAGGCCCTGCTCACCTTTGGGTTGTGCAGGATAATGACTTCTCTGTTGGGGGACTCCAGCTTCTTCTTCCACTCACCCAGGGTCACAGCAATCATGTAGGCTTCCTACAGAAGGGAACACCCACTGTGAGTCAGCTGGAAGCATGCCCATCAATGTTCAACCTCTTGGGACATTCCCCACCCACTTTTCAGAACCTCTTATCAATACTTTGCAAAAGAAGCAGATAAATCAGCTGGAGGAGCAGCAGGGTCATCCCAGGATCACCAGGATGCTGAGAGTGTTTAAGAGCTCCCTGCTTTGCAGCAGCATCACACTTCCCCATCCCCTTAGAACTGGTTTTGGTACAGCAGAGTGGAGATTATTGCAAAGATGGGTATTTTTATACATCTGCCTATGTATCTCTGCATTTGCATCATCCCAAAGGAAAGCCTGGCACTTTCAGCTGTGGTGGAAGGATGCACCGAAGCCGGACGAGGGCAGGGGAAGGGGAGGCCACGGCAGAGCTCACAGTTACATCAATCAGCTGCAGGAATGCCTGCCAAAGCCTCTTTGGAGTTCATGTCCTCAGGCCTGCCAGTGGCCTTGTTTGGGACATCAGAGGCAGTGTGTGACGAGGAGAAGCCGAGATGGAAACCAACAGGAAAGATTTTTTTTTTGTTTACCTCCAGTTCCTCGCTGAAGGACTCCGAGTAGGGAATGAACTTATTGTCCTTGTCCCCCTTGTAGAACCAGGTGCAGCGCCGCACCTCGGCCGCCTCCTCCTCCCAGTACACGGCCACGCGCCGCCGCGCCCGCAGGTGCACGTCGTACCTGCCCCCCGAGGTGGGCACCACCACGCCATCCTGGTCCTTCCCTGGGGGAACAGGGCCCGCAGTCAGTCCTCACAGGCCTGCAATGGCAAGCTCCCAGAGGCTGGAGCACCACCTTGGGCAGCACGGCCGGGCAGGTCAGTGCCACCACGGGAGATGCCAACGTCCTCCGGACCCAGGTTCAGAGAGCGCTGCCAGGGCGAGATGCCCCGAGTCAGACTTTCCCCAGAGGCAGAAGGTAAGATAAAAACATTACACTACACTGTCCTTCTCTCCAGCTCTGGCACATGCTTACGTGGCCTCTCCCTGCCTGGCCTGGAGGGTAAAAGTGACACTGAGGCACTGGGAAGGGCATTGTGTAACAGCAGGGGTGCACCAGCGTGTCCTGTCTCCAAGGCGCTCCTCTCCAAAACAGAGAACTCTCTACAGACCCCAATACAGACCTCAAACTCTGTGAATTTCGCTGCCTTTTGGGTCTGCCTGTGGGCTGGGCTGGTGGCACAGCACCCCGTGCCAGGCTGGGCCAGGCAGCAGCACCGGGGATGGGCAGCACAGCCTCTAATCCAAAACTTCCTGGGCGAGGGAGGACGGGAGGCAATCCTTGGGCAATCGGAGCTCTGCCTGTGGCAGCAGCAGGTGGCACAGATGGTGACATTTGGCACACAAGGGTCTCAGCACAGGGCTTGGAGCTGACCTCCAATCCTTGCTCCCACAGCAGGAACAGCTCCGTGCTGTGGGGACTCTCCCAGTGGAATTCCTGCCATCCTGGATGGCAGCTTCCTCCCAGCCTCACCAGAGGATGCTTTGCAGTATGATTATATATAATTCACAGCAGCATCAGCTGAATGGGGTCAGACCATTTGATGCATCCGCTCGGTTACCGGGAGCAGGCACGTGGCCAAAAAAGCCCCAGTTTCAAATTCCTCGAGGGAAAATCTAGCATCCCAGGTCGAAGCCGTGCTTGCGCCCAGGGAATTTTTCCCTGGCATCCAAGCACACACCTGATGCTCCCCCGCCAGCCTCAGCCAAGCCCATTCCTTAGGGCGATCCGCGAGCACGGATGGGGGGATGCAGCACCAGAGGGCGGTGGGAGCTGGGCCCGGCGCTGCCGCGGGACCCCCGCCCGCTTCCCCCGGCCGCTGCCGCCCTACCTGCGCCGTGCGCCGCCTCCAGCCGCTCCGAGTCCTGCGCGCTGAACGGCACCCAGCGCTCCCGCGAGTCCGCGACCTTGCAGTAGAACCAGTGCGGCACCACGGCCTCGTAGCGCCCGCCGGGCTCCGGCTCCGGGGGATCGGCGGCGGCCGGGGGCGGCCGCGGCGGCTCCAGCGCGGCCATGGGGCTGCTGCGGGCGAGCCGGGAGCGCCGGGCCCGCCGCCACCGGGGGCTCCGCGGGCAGGCTCCGCTCCGGCCCCGGTGCCCGCCCAGCCCGGGGCGGTGCTGCCCGCGGCCCGCCCCTGCCGTCACGGCCGGGGAGGAGCGGGGATCGCCCGCAATCCGTGCCCGCAGTCACTGCCCGCAATCCCGGCTGGAGCTGCTGCCTGCGCCCCTGCCGCTGATCCCCGCCCGCAGCCGCTCCCCGCAGCGCTGCGACTCTGCCCGCGATCCCTGCTGGGCCCTTTGCCTGTCATCCCTGCCTGTGACCCCTGCCTGCTCCCTGCCCCTGCTCCCTGCCCCTGCTCCCTCCCTGTGACCCCTGCCCCTGGTCCCTGTCCCGTTTCCTCTCCCTGGTCCCTGTCCCTTGGTCCCTGTCCCTCATCCCTGTCCCTGTTCCCTCGCTGTGTTCCCTGCCCGTGTTCCCTGTCCCTGTTCCCTCATCCCTTTTTTCTCCCTGTGTTCCCTGCCCGTGTTCCCTGTCCCTGTTCCCTTTTTCTGTCCCTGGTCCCTGTCCCTGTTTCCTGCCCTTGGTCCCTGTCCGTGGTCTCTCCCTGTGACCCCTCCCCCTGGTCTCTCCCTGTGATCCCTGCCCCTGGTCCCTGCCCTTGGTCCCTCCCCCTGGTCTCTCCCTGTGACCCCTGCCCCTGGTCCCTGTCATCCCTGTTCCCTGGTCTCTCCCTGTGACCCCTGCCCCTGGTCCCTGTCCGTGGTCTCTCCCTGTGACCCCTCCCCCTGGTCTCTCCCTGTGATCCCTGCCCCTGGTCCCTGCCCTTGGTCCCTGTCCCTGGTCCCTGTCCGTGGTCTCTCCCTGTGACCCCTGCCCCTGGTCCCTGCCCTTGGTCCCTCCCCCTGGTCTCTCCCTGTGACCCCTGCCCCTGGTCCCTGTCCCTGTGACCCCTGCCCACATTCCCTGCCCTCGGCAGTGGCCCGGGTGGGGGTGATGGTGGCCCCGAGCTGGATGCAGGGCACTGGGGTGCAGGGAAGCACCCAGCCCTGTGCCAGGCATGAACAAACACTCCAGCACGGCGTGATTGCAGCAGAAACCACGCGGTGCTGATTTAATGTTTGTTTTTCAGTCCCTCTGTGACACTTTAGCCTCCGTGGTGATTGAGAAACTCCAGCACCGCTGGAGAAGCAACGGGCAACCCCAGAGTAAGAGTTTGGTTTCTGTAGAGATGAGCCCAGCGATAAACAGAGGCAGACTTTCTAATTTGGGGGTTGTGATGTGGGTGGATGCTGCAAGCGGATGCTGCAAGATAAACCAGTTGCCAGGAACTGCTATCCCAGTGCTCAGCGTCGCACAGCAGGGACTGGTGAGGAAAACAGAAGGGTCAGGAGTGCTCAGCTCCCCAGTTCTGCAGCTGGAGCCCCTGCAGAGCCTGCAGCAGGGTGCTGACACAGCTCCTGCCCGTGTCAGACCGTCCCCACTGGGATCATCCGGACTGTGACGCACTCTGGTCCTGCGTGGGGGAGGCAGAGGCAGCAGGCAGGGATGGGTTACAGCAGAGCTTCCTGCAGGCTGAGGTGTGGGACGTGTTCCTGACCCCTGATCCCAGCTCAGCTTTGGGGGAAACACACAAAACCCACCCAGGGATGCTGGAGTGTCACAGGCAGCCACGCCGTCCCACGGAGCTGTGGCATCCCCACGCCCTGCCATGGTAACCTGCCATTCCAGCCCACTTCTTCGTGTTCTCTCGTGGGCTTTTCTCCAGGGATTTACATAACCCTCCGCCAAGGAGGCAGGGACAAGCAATATTGCTCAGGAATACGCTACCTGGATGGGTGCAGCTGATGGGGGAAGGGGTGGCACTCACAGGGGCTTCACCAGCACAGTGACAGGGCAGCACTCTCTGAGTACTGTGAATTATGAATCTCCCAGCACAGCCAGTGGTCCCCAGGAGGCACTTGCCAGGCTGGAAGCATGGAACAGCTCGGTCTGGCTGCTCCCTGCATGACACAAAACAAAGCAGCAGCAGAGCCTTTCCCTGTCCCAGGACATCCAGCTCGCTGTGCAGGCTGACCACGTGTGGTCATGGACACGTCCAACGAGCTCCAAAGGTCAGTCCTGTGCCCACAGCCCTGTCTGGGAATGTGGGAGCTGCCAGCTGCCTCCAGGGCCTCGGCTGGCTGGCAGCACAAAGGGCATGGCCAGGGCTCTCCCAGCCTCAGGCATCCGAAATCCCTTCCAGACCCTCTTCCACACTGGCTCTAGAGCCACAGCTGGAGGCTCCTGGAGCATCTGCACTGCCTGGGAGGCAATGGGACACCCTGGCACCCCAAAACAGCCTCCTTAGATCTTCTATTCATTGGTACAGCCACGCTGGAGCTTTGGTCTGGGCTACAAAACCTTCCCCACCACTTCTCTTGAAAGAAAAAGAGACTCTGAGACATCTCAATTACAAAATAACATTTGAAACTTGTCAGGGTTTATTAGGTGTCACACATAGCAGTGAGGTGCTGTGCAGGTGGTAACCAGGAGGCTGGAACAGGCCGAGCTGTTTTCTCCCCGTGGTGCTGCACAGTGGGACACAGAACTCTCAGGATGGAGAGGGACATGAAACAGGGGATTCTGACCCGAGTGACCTGGACATCATTTCCAAGCATCCTGCCCCTGTTCCTTCCTTGACTTGTGCTTCTCTTTTCCAATGGCAGAACAGGGATTTCCAGTCTGCTGCCATGCCCACAGGGACACCCCACACTGGCTCTGCACCACACAGGAGGAACAGCACGATGTGACATGTGCCAGCACAGTCCCTCCCTCCAGCACTTCAGTGTTGCTCCTTGAGTGCACTAAACCCAAACAACCCCTATGAGGAAACACGGGGCTCATGGCAAGGGAGCTGAAGCTGAAATTACAGGCAGTGAGGACAAGCCCAGAGTCTTGGTTGGTGGCTGCACATTGCAGCACATCTGACGAGTGTTTGAAGACTGGTTGTGGCTGTAGGAGGCACCCAGAGATTGGGCCTGGCCTGGGGAACTCTGTACACAACCCCACAGGGCTCCATCCTTGGCCCAGTTCCTTCAACATCTTCATTAAATACTTTTGCTGCTTCAAACCTCTCTCCGTTTGTCCTTTGCTGAGTTGTTTGTAGGAGCTGGGCTTCTGAGCTGGCTTTTTGGTGGGTTTGATTTGATTGTTAACTCAGGGCTTATTGCTATTCCATTGTCAATAGTGCGTAGCAGAAAGAGCTGAGATTTAAGAGAACTCTTTGGAACCTCAACAACAGGCTGTGTGTTGTGGCTCATGCGCTTTCACAATCCCTTTCTTTCCAGTTTTTCCAGTATGGCCTGAATTCTGTGGACAGACTCTTTCCTGGCCTGCCGGACACTGTCCTGGCCCCCAGTCTCAATGGAATCCAGCTCCAGCAGCAGCTTGGTCAACATCTCCTCCAGCAGCCGGTAGGATTTATCTGTCTTTTTCCCTACAAATTCATCCACCTCTTCCTCCAGCCGTTCAGCCTCCCCCATCACGTGGAGGATCCTCTGGATCTCCGGCTGCAGGGCTGCAGGATGCGTGGCAGGCTGCTCAGCAGCTTTGAAGCCCAGCTCCTGGCTCCTGGCCATGGGCTTCCGTGGGCCGAGGTCGTAGAGCTGGGGCTGGGCACTGTACTGCACCCGGGGCTGGCACGGGGCAGGCTTGGCCACCCTGTGCTCGTTCACCGGCCCCGAGTGCCGCTGGTTGCCATCAGAGTAGTAACTGTGCTGGCTGGGGCTTTGCTCAGGTCTGTCGTACACACAGTCCTGCAGGCAGAGGGAGAAAACATCTCTAAGTGCATTTCCCTCCAACCCGCAGGTTTCTGCTCTCAACCTGCACCCAGTGGTGGACAGGGCTGGGGATGCTGGGGACAGGGACCTGTGCTCTGCTCCCCATGTTAGAAAGCACCAACCCAGCAAGGGGCACCTGTCCAGAGGAGGAGTCTGAGCCCCCCATCAGGGCTGCTACTGCCTGGGCACCAAAACCATGGAGTCAATTCCTGATCCAACCCGGAGAAAGCCTGTCAGACCCATTTCAAGACCCACCCAGGACATCTTGTCCTTCACAAGAATCCCAGCCACAGGTTTGAGTCTTCTGTATGCAAACAGGACCTCACCTGTCCCTGTGCCTCCCAGGAGGGAGGGTGGGAAGGAGCCCCACTGCCGGTCCAGGACGGGTGTGAATCCGAGACGTAGAGGCTGCCGTGCCCCGAGGCGGGCCAGGCGTAGCGAGGCTGCACCCCAAAACCAGAGTGGGGGCCCCACGTGTCCTCCAGGGCTCGGGGCTGCGGCACCGGGCCCTGCCCTGTGACTCCTGCGCTGCTGTCTCCATATTGATACTGAGGCACCGGCATTCCCGGGGTCTGCAAGGGCAGGAACAGGCGTTACAGGGGGTCACTGCACCCTCACACAGCCCTGGGAGCTGGGATAGGGGTTACAGGGGGTCACTGCCAGCCCTGTCCCCTCACCCAGCCCTGGGACAGGCGTTACAGGGGGTCACTGCCAGCCCTGTCCCCTCACACAGCCCTGGGACCGGGACAGAACGGCCTCAGCTCAGGTTGGCCGCCCAATTCCCACTCTTCTGCCCCAAAAGCTCAGGGTCTCCAGAGAACAGCGTGACCACCAATTTTGCCGAGAGTAAAACCAGGCAGGACAAGGCGCTCAAGAGCCACGGGGACCCCCAGCCCCACCAGCCCCACCTCCCCCGGCACAGCCCCATGCCAGTGACCCGGCAGTGCCCTTACCTGCGGCGGGGAGTAGCCGGGGACCTGCTGCCTGCGGAGGGCCGAGCCCTCGGGGGGACACTCCGGGGGGACGTAGCTCCAGGCGGGAGCGGGCGACGGGGGCCGGTAGAGGCCGGCGGGCTCCGGGGGGTAGGGGCTGCGTGGGGGCCCCGAGCAGTAGAAGCCCCGTGCCTGCGGCAGGCTGGCGTAGTGCGGGTACGGGGGGCTGTAGGCTCCGTTGGCATAGGGAGAATCCATTGCCTGGGGACAAGGGAAGAGCACAGGGAAGGTGACGGGACAGGGACACGGGCACAGGTGCTCCAGGAACAAGGTCTGGCCCTTCCTGCAGCATTTAGCCTCCTCCAGCTGATCTGCCCCGGTTTTAGGCTTTCCTGGTCTAACGTGGCTGAGCTCAGGGGGAGGTGTGCAGCCCCTCACAGTGAGCAGCTCCTGGAGGATTCAATGCCAGCACTGCATCACTGACGGGAGGGTGGAAAACTCTCCAGGAAAGTTCATCTCCCTGCTCATTCTCAAACAGATAAGCTCTGCTAGGCAGTGTTCAGCTCCTGGAGCTGCAGCTCGTGTGGGTATCTGTACAGAAGGTCTGCACACCCAGGGCAGATCCGAGGATTTACCTGGATCCATCCCATAACTGATGTGTAGGGAACATGAGTTTCCACCTGATGGCAGAGGGGATGCTGAAGGACAGGATTTCAGGAGCTCGGGGAACGACTCCTTGTACCTTCGGGCAAAGCAGTGCTCCACCCTGAGCTGCTGCCCGGAGCGCAGGCTGTACAACCTGTGTGCCGGGATTTATGGAAGGGCCGGACCAGCCTGACAGCCCAGAGGAAAAACCAAACCAAACCAAACCAAACCAAACCAAACCAAACCAAATCGCGGCTGGAGAGCAGAGCCTGCTCCGGCAGGGAACACGGAATTTACACGGCAGCCCGAAACCCAGCTGCCATCAACCCCGCAGGTAACGGACCCGGCAATGCCCAGCCCCGGCACCGGACCCGGCAATGCCCAGCCCCGGGCCGTGGCCCTCCGCTCCGCACAGGCTCCGGGCTCCCCGCGTTCCCGGGATCTCCGCACCAGCACACGCGTCCCAGAAACGTCCCCGTGAAGCGGCTCCGCAGGCAGCGCCTCCCCGCGCTCCTTTCCGCCCCGTTACACGCCCGGAGGGGCCGTGAGCAGAGCCACGAGAACCGGCGGGGCTGGGAGGCTCCGGGCAGGGCCGCTCGGGGACCGCCCTGCGGGCCGTTACCGGGGCAGGGCCGGGCTGAGCGCTGCCCGTCCGCCCCGGGGGCCGTTTCCGTCCCGGGGGCCGTGCCCTCCCCGGGAGCGCTGTCCGTCCCGGGGGCCGTGTCCGATCCCGTGGCCCTGTCCGTCCCGGGGCCGTGCCCGTCCCTCGCCCCCGTTACCTGCGCGGCCGCCGCGGGCGGGCCCGGCCCGGCCGTGCGGGGCTCCATGGCCGCCGCCAAAGCCACGCCCCAGCTCGCCCCGTGCCCAATCGGCGGCCGCTCCCCTCCCGCTCCGGCCAATCGGCGGCGGCCCCGCGCGCACGGCTGGCGCGGCTTAAAAGGGCAGCGCCGGGTGGGCCCCGCCCGCCGCGGGCGGTTCCGGGGCGGCGGCGGCACCGGCGCATGGCGGCGCTTCCGCTGCGGGCGCGGCGGCACCATGAACTACATGCCCGGCACGGCCAGCCTGATCCAGGACATCGACAGTGAGTGTCCCGGGGCGGCCCGCTCCGTCCCCTCCATGCCCCGCCGGTGCCGCCCCGCCGTGGGGCCCGGGCTCCCGCTCCCCCGGGTCCTGCCCCCCGGTTCCCCGTGCGGCGCCCGGACCCCTCTTCCCGTAGCGAGCCGCCCCCCGTGCGCTCCGGCCCCGCGTGGCGCTGTCGCGGAGCCGCGGGGGCCGTGCCCGACGCCCCGCTCTCGTTTCCCGCAGAGAAGCACCTGGTGCTGCTGCGGGACGGCCGGACGCTCATCGGGTACCTGCGCAGCATCGACCAGTTCGGTACGGCCGGGGATGGGGATGGGGAGGAGGAGGGAGCCGTGCTGCCTTTCCAGCGTGGTTGTGCTGGGGGTGGAACCTCAGTGTCCTGTGCCCCGGACCTGGCGCTCCGCGGGGGTTTCTCCGCAGCCGGGCGCGCCCCGTCCCGCGGTGCATCCAGCGCTCGGGCTTGGCGTGGCTTTTTGGGCAGCAGGAGCTGGGTGATGTTCATCCTCCGTCCTTGCTGGAGTTTGCAGCACCAGCATCGCCATCATCATCTGTGCAGCAGGGGGCTCGGAGCTCACTGCGTGGGGAGAGTGTCGGTGGCTTCAGTGACCTCGGTGGCTTCAGTGGCCCGGCTCCGGGCAGCCACCGAGTGCCGGGCAGAGCCAGCGCTGCTCCGGTGGGACGGGGGACACGGCTCAGCCACAGCTCACGGTGGAACGTCACTGGTTTTCTGTCTGTCTCGTTGCTGCAGCAAACTTGGTGTTGCACCAGACTGTGGAGCGCATCCACGTGGGCAAGAAGTATGGGGACATCCCTCGGGGCATCTTCGTGGTGAGGGGCGAGAATGTGGTGCTGCTGGGGGAAATTGTAAGTGCTCAGCTCCCGCTGCAGTCTGGGCCCGGGCTGGGGGGGTTTGTGGTTTGTCTGTGTGTCTGTCTGCTGTGAAATGTGGTTGCTGTTGTCTTGGGCTGGAATTGGAGCTGCCTCCAGGGCTGAGCCATCACAGAAAGGCCAGCCTGCAGGGCAGGGCTGCCTCCTGCTGCCACAGCCCCTCTGGGATGACACAAGGAGGAAGAACAATGCAGAGGGAGCTGTGGGGAAGCTCCAGCTTGTGTGGCACTGCTGGAGGGTGGCACTGTTGCCTGCCTGTTACCTCCCTGCTGGCTCTGCCCCAGCGGGCACCGTCTGGGATGGGCTCAGGAGGAGCCGAGCGCTGTTTGCTTTGGGAGCCCCTTCCCAGGGCTGTGCTGGGGATCCCTGCCCACGTCCCACCCCTCAGAGCACTTCCAGCACCTCTGTTTCCTGCCAGCCCCACCGTTCACTGTGTGGAAGGCGCGTGGGCTCAGGTGATGGTGCTGTGCAGAGCTGAAGGGTCGTTTCTCCTGCAGGACCTGGAGAAGGAGAGCGACACACCTCTGCAGCAGGTGTCCATCGAGGAGATCCTGGAGGAGCAGCGGGTGGAGCAGCAGGCCAAGCAGGAGTCGGAGAAGCTGAAGGTGCAGGCGCTGAAGGAGCGCGGCCTCTCGGTGCCGCGGGCTGACACGCTGGATGAGTACTGAGGGGCTGCCCCTTCCCTGCGGGGAGCCAGGGCTGCTCCAGGACCTGCCTGGGCAGGCAAAGACTGCCTCAGAAAGGCGGGTTTCATTTTCAGATTGTCTTTTCCGTGGTGCTGGTAACTGTACACAAATCATGCCTTTAGTCTCCTTCTGGAGAAGGAGATGAGGAGGGCCCAGCGCACTGGGAGTGCAAGCATTTGTGTTTGGGAGGCAAATCACTGCTCCTTGGGTTTGTTTGCTTTTTCCTCCTCACATGACTCTGGGTGAGAGTTTTCCTTGACATGTAAATAAATCCTTGATCCTGACATCGATGGTTTTCCACTGTTCTGGTCCTGACAGTTCCCCTCTCTTGGGACAAGCACCCCTCAGGCCAGCTCTTGTCCCCTCTGTGTGCTCTGCAGGGCCAGATGGGACCCCTGGTCCAGCCAGGGGCTGGGCTCACTCCAAGAGAATGCTGGAGCCTGTTGCAATATCCTGCTCTGGGATGGAGAGCAGAACCTGGGTACCCTGTACCCCAACACAGACCACCCATACCCCCCAGCCAGGTTGTGCCACTCCCCTGCAGCTGAGCCTGCTAATTACCAGCTGAACCCACTAATTACCTGCTGGTGAAGAGCTGCTGCACCTGGGGCACGGCAGAGCCTGGAGCTCCAGCCCCTGCTCAGCCCGTGCTGGGGGAGCTGCTGCAGCTGTGTCAGGCTGGAGAGTCCTTTGCCCGGCTGTGTCCCGGCCCTTCCGTGGGGAGGAGAGTCCTTGGCCTCGGGGCTGCCTTTGGGCAGCTGCCAGGCCCCAGGAGCCTGCTGGGTGTGGGCAGGGAAGGGCAAACCTCGGCAGGGACAATCCCTGTGGGACCTGGGGCTGCTGCCCTGGGCAGTGGGAGTTCTTTGGGTGAAGGGTCCGTGCTGGGGGGACAGAGGATGAGCCCAGCTGTGCTTGCTGGGGCTGAGCACAGCTGTCCTGACACAGCTGTTGTGGCCAGTACTGGCCCAGGGACCACTCACTTTGGGGGGAAACATTCCTGCCCCATTGGGCTCGAGTGGGTGTTGTGGGTTTGGGGGTAGCAAAGGTTTAAACAAGGAGATGCTATTTCTTGTTCTAATAAAATTTAATAAAAAGCATTTATGGAGCTGGCGCCTGTGGCTGGAAAGTCTCTGGCAGGCGGGGATGGCTCTTTGGGGGCATTTTGGGGTGAGGGGGGATCAGGACAGCGATGCCCGTGGTGGCTGGGGGGAGGCAAGGGCTGCCCAGCCCCAGTGCTGGGGTCCCAACCCTGCAGCCCAGGGCTTTGGGGGGCATAAGGAGCTGGTGGGGGTCAAGACATGGACCCATTCTTGCTGCTCTGGAGCCCATTATCTTATCAGGGCGTCGGGTGTGCCCTCTCTGGCACCGGGGGTTGTGGTTTGTCTGTGCTCTCCAAATAGCAATTCAGCCTTGGAATGGGGGGACATTCCTGTGCTGCAGGAGGGACAGGGTCACCCCGACAGAGCTGCCCTGCTGCAGCCCCTGCAGTGGGAATGGGCAGGGAGCGGGGAATGTTCTCAAGGGGGTCTCAGGGCAGCCTCAGGGTTCCTTGCTCCCTCAGCCTTCAAGCCCCGGTGAAGCTCCAGTGCCTTTGGTTGGCATCATTTTGGTTTTTGTACGTTTTGTACATTTGTGAGCCTTTGTACTTCAAGGCCTGTTAAGTGAATGCAAATGGAGCTGTGTGGTGACTTTGTGCAGGACCCTCAGGGGGCTGTGGGGGCTGGGGTGTCCCAGTTAACCAGATCCCCCTGAGGGTTCTGGATGCCTTTTTGGGGTCTGTGTCCTGCTCTGGGGCCCGGTCACCTGCAGCATTTCCTCACGTGCTGTGGCACGGTGTGGCTGTGCCTGTGTCCCCTCCTGAGGGCACAGCTGGGGTCGTGCCCCTCCAGCCTGGAGCCAGAGGGGCGGCTCTGCGTGCCTTGTTTTGGTTCTTCTCACAAACAACTGCGTGTCCTTGTGCCGAGGCCTCGTGCTGGGAGCGGCGGCTCCATCTGGGATAACAGCCCTGGATCGCTCACAGCCAGGGGCTCCCGGCCCCCGGCGCTGTGTGCCCTCACTCCCGGGGCAGGGGGCCTGCAAGGGCTGGGGCAGAGCAAAATATTGGGGTGTCTCTGGTGGTCCCAGGCCTGTCAGTGTGTGCTTGGCCAGAGCTCTGGGCTGGGCACTCCTGGCTGAGACTCGGGGGTTCCAAACCCTCCCCATGTGTGCAGGGAGGTGGGAGCAGGTGGGGGAAGCCCAGAGGTGGGGAGAGCTGTGGCATGACCCGGGAATCACACTTGTGGGAGCATGGCTATAAAGAGGAGGTCCCAGCAGAAGTTTTGGAAAGGGATAGTGCAGCTCCTGGTGCCTCCAGCATCTCCCTCTAACCCCACGGTGCTGACCTGAGCCTGAGGTGTTTCCTGGCACACGGTGGAGAATGGCAGCCCTGGCAATGGAGAGGAACATCCTGGGGAGCAGCAGGAGCGTTCTGGAACGCAGGTGGGACTCAAATCATCTCAGAAAAGCTGGGGACAGGCGGGGGAGACAAAGGGCTCCCCGGGGCCGGGCTGCTGGCGCAGTGAGGGGGTGACCTCCCCCCGGGCCAAGCTGTTGAATTGGGGAGCAAGGTCAGGCTCCCTGCAGGAGGGTGCAGGGGCTGACGTCAAAGGAAGCAGCTGTAATTCACAGGTTCCTGGGAGTGCTGGTCTCCAGGCCGTAATTCATCCCAGAAATGTCATTTCAGCCTTGAGCGTTATCGCTGCTCCGCCGTGTCCCACTGCTGGGGCAGATAACGGGGCCTGGGGAGTTGGGGGCTGCCTGGGGCTGCCCCTCACTTCAGCAGTGTATTTATAATTCAGTGTCCTATGGGCTGTCCTGCTTCTTGTGCACAGAGGCTCAGCCTGGCTCGTCATTCCACAGTGGTCGTGCTGTGAGATGCTGTCACCCAAAGTTATCCCTCATTATCCATTGTTACCCATCAAAGGCTGGACTCTATGACTTGGAGGACTTCTGCAGCATTAATGACGGTGTGACTGCGCTGACCTGTTCCCTGTCACAGCTCCGCTCCAGGTCCGTGTGCCGTGCTCTGTGCCGGCAAGGATGGCGAGGCAGGGCAGGAGCTGCTCGGGCTCTGCCCGCCGTGCCCCCGGGCCGGGGCAGCTCCGGGTCCCCTCACGGCCCCGGCCCCGTGCGCTGCCCGGGCTGCGCGGGGAGCGGGCCGGCCTTGGCCCGCGGGGCCCGGCCCGCACTGACGGCTCTTATCTCGCGGCTGACGGGGCAGAATCCTTCAGCCCCGCGTACTTAAGGCCGTGCACGGCGGGGCCGGGGCAGAGCAGCGCTCGGCGCAGACGGACGGACACCGCGGCCACCACCGAGGCCACCCCCGCTGCCACCGCCAAAATCACCGCCCGGCCACCGCCACCGCCCAGCCCTGCCACAGCCACCGCCCGGCCACCGCCACCGCCACCGCCGCTGCCCAGCCCACGCTCCAGCCCCTCAGGGAGATGCTGCCAGCCACGTCCAAGCTCTGCGCCGCCATCTCCTACCGCCACCTGCGCAACATGACCGGTGAGTCCGGCCGCGGGCCGGGGCAGCTCCTGTCCGGCTGTCTGGGACAGGATGGGGCCGGGGCAGCTCCTGTCCGGCTGTCTGGGACAGGATGGGGCCGGGGCAGCTCCTGTCCAGCTGCCCGGGGCAGGACAAGGCCAAGGCAGTCCCTGTCCGGCTGCCTGGGGTTCGGGGATTCCCTCCCTGCTGTCACAGGCAGAGTTAGAGTGGCTGTCTGGGACAGGATGGGGCCGGAGCAGCTCCTGTCCTGCTGCTTGGGGCAGGATAAGGCTGGGACAGTCCCTATCTGGCTGCCTCGGGTTCAGGGATTCTCTCCCTGCTGTCACAGGCAGAGTTAGAGTTTCTGACAAAAGTTTATTAGAGAAGCTGCTGTTGAGTCACGGGCTCCAGAAAGGGCTCTCTTTCTTCCTAAACTCCTCAGAGTGGTGGCTGGGGCCTCAGCGATGTTCTCCCCACTCCGTAGCATGGCGGGTTCTCTGATTTACTGTCCCTGAAACCCTGAGCCCTGTCGCTGGGGCCTGAGGGCTGGCTCATGTCCCTGTGACCAGCTCTGGGTCACACTCCCTCTGGCTGTGAGGGTTTTGTAGATCCATTTCCATGCTGTTTCCTGGGCACCTGCACAATGCTCCTCAGCGTTTTTACTGCTGAGTGGCTCGGAGCTGGAGCCAAGCTCAGGATTGCTTAGGACAGCCTACCCCAGGGCAGTGCGATGGCAACCAGCTGCTCCCTGTGCCTGTAGGGACACCGAGATGGTGACAAGCAGGGACTTTTCCATGTTGTGTGTTTAAATGGGGGAAAAACCCACAGTAAGGGCCACGTGGTGCTGGTGGGTGACACGCTCTCTCCCCAGGTCTGAGGAGACAAGCTGCTGTGGCCATCAGCCAGGAGCTGAGCAGGCTGGCCAGCCGCAGCCCAGGACCCAGCGCCTGGATCCACCAGGTGCGCAGGAGGAGCTCCTTGCTCAGTAAGTGACACCTGAGGGGTCTGTTCCTTCTGCTGGGGGGAGACCCTCACAGGCTGGGGGAAAACCTGCTTGAGGGTGGGCTGTGCTTCTGCTGAACCAAAGGCAGAGTGGGAACTGGGTGTAATCCCCGTCCCCTGGGCACAGAGAAGGGTATTTGGTGTAGATAAAGCTTCATCTGCACATTACACTGCTCTTGCTCAGCCCTGCCTCTGTCTGCAGGCTCAAGGCTGGAGGAGAAACCCTTCAGCGAGACGGAAATGTCTTACATCAAGCAAGGAGAGGAGGCCCTGCAGAAATCCCTCAGAATCCTGGAGGACCAGGACGACTGGAAGACAGAGACAGTGGCGGTGGGTGCTGTGCCCCGTGGTGCTGCCTTGCAGCCCTCCCCCTGCGAGCAGCCCTGGTGGTAACTCTGCCATCCCCTCCGCAGGGTAACGGGGACAAAGTGCTGAGCAAGGTGCTGCCAGACGTGGGGAAGGTGTTCCGGCTGGAGGTGGTGGTGGACCAGCCCCTGGACAGGGTGTACGGGGAGCTGGTGGACAACATGGAGCAGATGGGAGACTGGAACCCCAACGTCAAAGAAGTCAGGGTAGGAGATGTGGGAGATGTGTCAGAGCTGTCCCAGCTCTGTGTTCTTTCCATTTCCTGCTGCAGACGTAGAGAAGGTTTTGCAGTATCTGTGTTGCTGCTGCAGCAGAGGCGAGTCTGGAGCAGCTTCTGTGTGACTAATTCTGCAGGAAAGGCACTTCCTGCAAGGAGCTGCCAGTTCTGCTGGAAAATGGGGCTGATCTGGGGAAGAAATAGCCCCAAGGCACAAGGAATCAGAGAGGCAGTAAGGGAATAGCTTTTCACTCAGGAATTGTAAACAGTTCTCACCTGGGGGCAAGCAAGTATTTGGAGTTATTGTCACTGTCAACTCTTTGTCAGACCCTGTATCTGAACACCTGGTAACCAAAGGCAGCTTTTAGCAGTGCTTGCAGTAAACACTTCAAATGAAAGTTTTAATTCTGAACTGCAGATTCTGGAGAAGATTGGGAAGGACACGGTGATCACCCACGAGAAGGCGGCCGCGACCCCAGGGAACATCGTGGGGCCACGGGACTTCGTGAGCGTGCGGTGCTCCAGGAGACGTGGCTCCACCTGTGTCCTGGCTGGGATGTCCACCACCTACGGGGCCATGCCCGAGCAGGAGGGCTTCATAAGGTACCCCCTGCTCAGCCCCGTTATGCCTGTGCAGGGAGGAGATTCCCTCAGGGCACTGTGGGCTCAGGGTCGCTGGGTTTCTATGGGCGGCAGGAGCTGCTGCAGAAAGCCCAAAGTGCATTTTTGAGGCAGAAAAGTCCAAGTTTGGGGCTGACTTGAGCCTCTCCCCCCACCAGGGCTGAGAATGGTCCCACCTGCATGGTCCTGCGCCCGCTGCCCGGCAGCCCCTCCCAGACCAGGCTCACCTGGCTGCTCAGCATCGACCTCAAGGTACCTGGGGCTGGACGAGCTGGGGGCAGCTGGGGGCTCTGGGGGAGGCTGGTTCTGCTCACAGGCTGTGTCTGCTCCTCCCCAGGGCTGGCTACCCAAGACCATCATCAACCAGGTCCTGTCCCAGACACAGGTGGACTTTGCCAAACACCTGCGGCAGCGCCTGGCCCGGTCGGTGCCTGCGGCCTGCTGACCACAACCTGCTGACCACAACCTGCTGACCACAACCTGCTGACCACCTGTGCAGGGCTCCCTTCAGGGACCAAGTATGGAATCTTGTCACTTCAATTAGCCAAGGCCTTTAACAGCTGATTCCACTAATTAATATATAGTTATAATCAGTTTATTTATTGAAGCTTATTGTGTAAGTGCAGGACTAAAAATTTAATTCCTGCAGTTGCTTAACTGAGCACGTGCTGGACCAGTCAGCCAACTCCACCCTCCCTAATTACTTTCAATGAATAAATAAAGCTTTAATTAGTGCTGTCTACAATTAAAGGTCTGGGCTAATTAGTTATTAGGGAGACAGCTGACTGGGAAGTACATCCTCAGTGAGGCAAACACAAGCCTGACTGAACCTCAAATTTTACTCTCCCAAAGCTCAAACACAGCCCTTAACAATTTTGTTTCCTCTCCCCCTCAAAGCAGCTCTAATTTATTTTTTTCCTGTACCAACACATAAAAAATGTCAAATTATTTATTCATCCAAAGCTCTGCAATGATGATCATTAGCAGGAGGCCCCATGTAACTCCTGTGCACAGAGATCTTCAGCTCATAAGATCTCTAAGTGTAGCTACTTTGAGTTTCAATGTCACTTGTAACAATTTACAAGACAAAAACAAGAATAAAAAGAAGAGTTAAAGCCTTTATTTTTAAACTGGTTTCCAGTCTGTGGGGAAAAAAAATACAGTTTGGACAGAAGCCCAAATTTCAGTCTTACATGCAGCCGTGTTGTTCCAACAGAGCCGTCCTGGCTGGGAGCTGTTGGTCACCATCAGCCAAACACTCCTGAGCACAGGGGTCACTGCAGCCACACCTGGCAGGTCCAGCTACACCCCGGGAGAAGGTTCTTCAACACCCCCTTCTCCAGCAAGCGACACTCTAACGGGACTGGGGGCTCCCAGAGAGACCCCACACTAGCACAGAACCCCCCAGACCTGCCTCCTGGGGCAGTGGGGAGCTGTGAACACACACACAACACCTGCCAGCCAGGGCTGCATCCACCTCAGCCTCTTGGGTCCTTGGCTGATCACTGAGAGAGAGATGGATGCTCCTCCACGGTGCTGGGGTTTATGGCTCCCAGGGTGGGCTCCTCCTGCCATCCACCTCTGTCTCCACGTGGTACAGGACATCTGCCAGCGTGTGCTCCACCACGGCCCCCCAGCCCATGTCACTCATCTGCAGAGAGAAGCACAGTTAGCTCCACTCCTGGACAAGGAGGGAACACATAGCCCAGAGCTGTTTTCCTCCTCAAAACAGTAGTGGCGGGGGGGGATTCCAAGGGTTTCCTTCAACAGCAATTCAGCCCCCTTACTGACAAATGAGGCCAACACAGGCAACAGTCTGTCAAGAGGAACAAGATAACAGCACCTGGATATCTGTCCTTATATATATTTTAAACACAATCCTTTTGGCTACACTGTCCAGGTAGTGAGACTGAAGGACAGGTACAGGTGTGGCATGAATCACACCAAAACATCTCTGATTTAAACAATGAGGCTCTCAAACAGGGGGAGAAGCTTCAGTTGTACTTACAGGATGGTAAGTGATGTCTCTTGGTGGATACTTGAAATATGGTCCAAAGTTTATGGAAACCTGTGGAACATACATTTTCATTACATGTAAAAATCCAGGAAAATCTCTTTAGTCCTCTGTCCTTGTCCCTTCCTACTCCTGAGCCTCCCCACACTCTGTGCAAGCTCACAGGAACAAACATTGCTGATGTTACTTCAGCGATTTGATAATCTTGTTACATGTGTGAACAGCAAGATTGTTCCAGAGTCACTAAAATGGTTCCCATCTTTTCACCTGGCACACTCCCCGAGTGCCCACACCTAGTGCATGAACACACTTTGGGTGTGAAACTGATGCATTTAGGAATTCCCTTTCAAAGACCCCTCACTTACTGTGCAGCCTTTGTACAGAGAGATAGCAGGAAAATAAACCCCCTCAAAGATGTCCTTAAAGGCAACTCCTTGGCTGACACCATTCTTGAAGAATATGATCTGAAAAATGAAGGGTTTTCCCACTGATGGTGGCTGTCAGGACACAGCAACCCTGACAAGATTAATGCCTGCTCCCTTTCACTCAGGCCAGGCACGTGCTGAAATGACAGCAACAACTCACCTGGCTTCCAGGGGCTTGCTTTAGGCTCTTCTCTGCTTTGTCCACAAAATCCTTCTCTTCAAAGTACAAGTAGCTTTTGAACTTGATCAAAGCCTGAAACAGCAGCAAACAATGTCAGGAACAAGCCTGAAACCTGTTACCTGTCACCTGCCCTGCTCAGGGCCAGGCGTGCCTGGTGTCAGAGTACCTGTGAGAAATGATTCCCACAGCTCAGACATTTCAGAGCCAGGAGGGGAAGGTGAAAGATGTGGGCAATGCCATCCAGGAGTATTTTGCTTTCTTGAGATCAACACTTTGGGCCTCTCCCCCACGAACCACAGAGGTACCGAGAGGCAGGATGGGAAGGATGCAGGGAAAGGGGCACGAGTGAGGCCATTTTCCAGTTTTCCACCTGCCAATGCTTAATCCAACAGTGAACTTGCACCTCACCTTGTCTTTGTAGGTGTCAGGCAGGGATTTGGCTGTCTCAGTATCCTCTGGAAGGTTGATGTAAAACCCCAGGACATCACCCTGTCCGTAGCCAGAGGAATAGTGTTTCCCTATGGACTGGTGAAACTTGGTTCCTTTTTTGCTGCGCCAGGAGTAACTGAACTTGTCGTATCCCAGAGGGGCCTGGAGGTTCCCTGTAGAAACAAATGCTTCATGGTGAGCACAGGGAGTGTAGCAGGAGCACCTGCTGAGAAATGCTTTGTAAAATTATTTACCCAAGGGCTGTGACCAGCCTAATCTGGCAGCTGTGTCTGGAGGCATCTCGTCCATGGAGATTTCGAAGTACCAGGCTCCCTTGCGCACGCCGTGCGAGGCCCTCACCATGGAATAGCCCTTCTCCCCAACAACAGTCAGCCTGTCGTCAGAGATCTTCAGCTGGGGAGCTGCAGGGGAGCACAAGAGCATGCACTTGTGTGGTGATGTCAAAAGGCAAGTGAACACGCAGAGGTGGATTTAAGTTCTGCACCTGTGAGAGCAGGGGCAGCTGAAACAGCTCTGACTGGTGCCCCTGGAAGGAAACCCAACCTGCACAGACTAACAGGCTCTGTACCTCGGTCATGCAGCGCCAGGAGGACTCGCTCATACAGGCAGGCTCTGTACAGGTCCCCAGGAATTGGTTTTCCTGCCCAGCAGTCCAGCTCCAGCTTTTCAGGGTCGGGTGCGTGGGGGTCGGGCTCGGCCAGGATGTAGCGATAGCCGTCCTTGTTGAAGGGGTGCTCCAGAGGGTACCCGTGGGGGGGCAGGCGCTGAGCAGCAAACAGCGGGTCACTGAAACACACAAACCCCATGCTGGCATCTCCAGGTGCTGTCACTTGTCACCCCAGGACAGCCCCTGCAGAGCTGTCCCTGTGCTCAATGCTGCACACTCGTGTCTCCGTGAAATGAGCGGTCATCCACTGCAAATCACTTATAGCCTGTGACCCATCAGTCATCCATGACATCATCAGTGACATCACAGGGCTCTGGAGTGACCCCCAAACACCCACCCAGGGCAGACACAGCTGGGAGGCACCTCAGGGCATCACAAGTGCCACTGTCCCTGACTGGTACCCATCCCTGTGCCCATCCCTATGCCCATCTCCATACCTTTCCCTGTGCCATTCCTGTGTCCATCTCCACACCCATCCCTGTGCCCTGCCCATCCCTTTGCCATCCCCATGTCCATCTCCACACCCATCCCTGTGCCATGCCCATCCCTGTGCCATCCCGGTGTCCATCTCCGCACCCATCCCTGTGTCCATCCCCATGCCCATCCCTTTGCCATCCCCATGTCCATCTCCACACCCATCCCTGTGCCATCCCCATGCCCATCCCCATGCCCGTCCCTGTGACCATCTCCACATCCATCCCTGTGCCATCCCCATGCCCATCCCTGTGTCCATCTCCACACCCAGCCCTGCACCCCTCCCTGTGCCATTCCCATGTCTATCTCCACACTCATCCCCGTGCCCATCCCTGCCCCTCCATGGCACCTCTGCTCTCACCTCCGTGTTTTCTTGGCCGTGCCCGTGGTGCCCCCGTCCTGCTGCTTGCGCTTGGCCCCTCGGCCCTTCCCGCTGCCCCCGGCAGCCATTCCCCCTGGACACACAAACCAGGCCCGCTCAGGAGCTGCCGCTCGCCAGCGCCCGCCCGCACGGGATCCCCAGGGAGAGAGGGCACAGCAGCCAAACCAAATCAGCTCGTGGGCTCAGGTGCCTTTGGCCACAGTTACTGTGAACCAGACTTCACTGCCAACGAGCACAGCGAAGGCCACAACTTTCATGTGGCTTCTGGTCAGCTTTTGAGGTGTCTGAATTTGGAGCAGAAGCTAAAGGAGAATGAGCAGCGAAACAAGCTCAATCTGAGCTTTTCAGGTGAGAATTAAGAATCTTTTCTGTCATCAGAAGATTTATAGGCAGCAGCACTGGGATCCACTTCAGGGGCATTAATATTATTATAATTATTATTATGGGAGATTCCAGTCACAGCCCAAATCTATTTCTGCAGAAGCAGCAGAAACCCAGCCTACAGCACAGCCACCAACGCGGTGACCCTGTGCTGGAGGAACACTGACACCAACCAGCAACAAGCGCCAAATGTTCAATTTCCATCTACAAAATAAAATACACCTGAGTTGAGAAAAACGAAAAGCAAGAGGTGTTTCTCTTCAGTACTACTGAAATCAGTTCTATGATTGAGCAGCAAATCAGTTTGAACTCAGCACTCAGTAATAAAACTGAGGGTAGGAAAAGCTACGTGTCAAACTTAATCAAACTAATATCAGCATGTTTTAGTAAATTAAGTCATACATGCATTTTATCATCCTGCTATTTTCAAAGATATCACCGCTGATTTATAAGGAAAACTATGGGAATTTCATGTACTGTAGATAAACACCTGCACAAACCACATTCCTGTGGTAAC